ATTTTTGTTCACTCTCTGAGGTCCTCTGACCCTGCATTGCACAAAGATTGATAGTGAGGTGGCCCTACTGTGCTGACTGGCCCTCACATCATTTAGCAGTCTGTCACAAACTGGTGTTTCTGGTGTTGTAAGCAGAGCAGTATCCTCACATGGGACAAACTGGTTCAGATTGGGTTCTGGTTTAGATTGAGATTTGCCACATAGAAACTCTAAAAGCTGCTAGTCACAAATGTGGAAGTATTAATTCATATCACTGACTTTCCAAGAAAAGAGGGGTTAATGAAAACTACATTACACTGGTGTCTGCAGGAAGCACAGAATAATTTTCCAATACTGTGCATACACATGTACTGGACAGAAATCTGTGATTCTGCAGACAGACACATAAAACATTTTTGATTCTGACAGCAGATTGTCCAGCTTGCTCAAGTTCCATAGAGGATCGCAGAGTTTCCTATGATATTTCTCATGTCAAGACATGTTGCTGTAAACACTTCATGCAGAGAAACTGTAGAGTAGTTGCATGGACAGTGACATCATTTCAAACTATTTTGTTATACAATTTTCCCACCACAATACAGGGGTGAATATGGGAGGGATGGAGGAATTGTTTGCACCTGCTGAGTTAATACAATGATCATTTTGGAAAATCATTAGCCTGTGGAACCATACAATTACAACTACAATAAACATTAACCAAGGAAAGGAATAAGAGACTATACTTCATTGATCTAAGGACTTGCAAGTTAATGAACTTGGCCAGCTATGCCAACTTTTCTCCTAATTTAGGACATAGTATCAAGTTCATTAGGCAGTCAGGTATAACTTCAGGATCATCAGCCATCAGAGACCACTGGAGGGACAGCTGGGACAACAAGAACGCATGTGCCAGTGGGAGGAAATACAAGCTAATGACTCCAGAGAAGTCGTTATCATATATATATTTCCTCTGCACACAGGAACCTTTTCTGTACTCAGGATGCATGGTATTTCAGAGGAAATATCCCCTCATGTGTCTGATGCTAAATAAAGAATGCTTGTTTCTTAACGCTGCATTGGTGTTAAAAATTTTTATTGCACTGATTTTTGCTAAAAAATAAGCCAAGTGAACTGCTCTACTGAAGCAGCTTTTTGCAGAGTGCAAAATTAGAAAAGGGTACTTTGAGTGGAAGGAAATATTTTTAGCCATATGCCTCAGCAGAGGAGTCGTTCACGATGCTGTTCTGTAAATCCTGGATAGATTCTCTGAGAATAGTCAACTGTGTGATCTTCATATGTGGTCTTTAATAGCTGGGAAACTGTGCTGTGATGAATGTTGCAGTTTTATTCTGCAGACAATAAAGAGCACTATGACCTTAGGCTGAGGAATAGTGAAAGCAAGCCTCCATTTTTTCTTCATTTATGAATTACCACCCTGTTATTTTCTTTCTAGGGGTTGAAGGTTTTATGTCATTAGTGCTTGGGCTAAAAACCATATGTTTGTAAATACCTTCATTGCTTTGTTTTATTTAAGTAAGTATTCTTATTACAACAAGTATTTCAAACTTACAGTCCCATATTTACTGCTTTTTTGGAGATTTTCCAACTTATAAAATGCTGCAACTTTCTGCAGTTTGCTGTGATGTCCAAATCACAGGCACACATCTGTGCAGGATCTACCATCACTTTGTGCCTCACTTCTGCACTTACAACACTCCCATAATTATGGTTTAAAGAGAGAATACATACAAATTATTCAAATGTTTGCCTTCTTGTTTCTTTGGTCGTTGCCAATTCCTAACCAACCTTTCCTTAATCAAACTCATAGCTGTTTTCAGAAGGGGCTCTTCTCCAGATACACATCTATGTTGGCAAACTCACCAGCTATAAACCATCAGCAGAAGCCACACAGCAGAGTCCATATAAAAATTTAGTAAAAAAAGGCTCAGTTAGACAATAGTAATAACTGACATATTACTAGTCTGGGTATTTCAAGTTCCTCACCTGTCTTCCTTGGAAATCCTGTTGAATAAGACTTAACATTTTGAAAAGATCTGTCTCTTTGCAGACCCCAGCTAACTTTATGATTAGGTTAGCTAAGCTGCTATTAAAATCACCAATGTGTGTATACATGAGCTAACACAAAACTCAGAATGCAGAAAGCCCATAACTGGGACAATTTCCAAGATGCAACTTTCCCAAATACACTACACTGCAAATTGTCTATCTTTTGAGCTTTAAAGATGAAGACAAGTGGATAAATACATCTGTATATATACTGCCTGTTTTACCACTGAAGTCATGAGTCCCACCACAAAAATGATGTTTTTTTTAAAAATTATGAAGTCTGGTTTTTTTCTTAGTGATACAAATGTATGTCTAGTTGCACCAGAGCTTTTAATCTCCTTAAACTGAACTTTTCACCATATATCAGTGTAGCTTCTCTTTGTTTTGTAATATATCATACTAGTGGAAAAATCTTGGAGGGGAGAAAAAAAAGCATCATGTTAAGAGGAAGAATGTTGCATAAAAGTGTTGCACAACGTGGGAAGAATCAACTCACTCCTGTCATTGATGATTATTATTCTTTGCAATGTGTTTGCTACACTAAATCTGCCTGGTGATCTTATAGTAGTTAGGATCCAGTTTTGTCCTCTGTGTCATTTGCATGAAAATACTGCAAGCCAGTTGCACCAGAAAGTACTTTTGCTGATGAAATCTAAATGTACAGCCTGCAGTTCAAAGAAGGCCTTTAGTGCAAAGCCAGTCCTGTGGCTGTGGCCAACAGTGAAACTGTGATTATACTCAGAGTTACCAATATATCTTACTTAAGTCAGTGTCTGTCCTTTTCTTTCCTTTCCCACAAAAAAAAAAAAAAAAAAAGGCAAAAAAGTCAATTTCAGTAAAAGATAAGAGCATAAAACTGTCTTTTTCCCATTCTAGTACTCATTTATAGCACATCTTCTCAATCACTATGTTAAAAGTAAAGGAACAAAATATTTCAGCTAACATATACAGCAAAGATTGACAGGCAAAGCCTGGTAGCCTTAGAAGGAGATTTCCTAAAATATTTCAGTAGATCAAATAACTATCTAACCATGAAATCAAGGGAGGTTTGATAATTGTGCATGGGAGTACCTTTATATCTTATTATGATGTAAATAAATTTAGAAACCCAAACTGCGTATAGGCTTAGGTGCTATGAAATGGTAGTTGGTACAGTGTTAATTTAAAATTAACAGGCAGGACTGGAAACAACCTGAGATACAGAGTAACAAAAAACCACTTTGAGTTATAAGAGCAAATCCAAAGCTTGAAGGAGCAGAACTTTTCTTCTCAAAGGTGCTACAAACAGTCTCAGTGGAGGGAATTGTGCCTTTGTTTCCCACATGGGCTGGAGGGAAAGGGCATCAACAGAGAAACATGGTATTTGAGATCAGTAATTTGAGAACAAAACAAAAAAATAAAGCCATTTCATTCTGTGCATCTCTGTTAAGTGTTAGTGCAGTTTGATACCAGCTGAGAATTCTCTTCAGCCAGCTGTTTTGAGTAAGGAGTTACCTCATGGAGCTAGCCCTTGCTTGTAGCAATGACAGATGTGAATCTGAAGTATCATTTAGCTCTTGATGAGTAGTCTTACACTTCAAATTTCCATCCTGAAGTGAGGAGGCAAAGCTAATTCAAGAGGGTTTAACAAGGCGAAGCACCCTTGGGTCACAACCTCATGCAGCACTACAGGCTGGGACAGAGTGGCTGGAAAGCTGCCTGTCAGGAAAGGACCTGGAGGTGCTGGTCAACAGTGCCTGAACATGACCCAGCCCAGGTGGCCAAGAAGGCCAACAGCATCCTGGCCTGTATCACCAACACAACAACGTGGCCAGCAGGAAAGGGCAGTGACTGTGCCCCTGGACTGGGCACTGGTGAGGCCACACCTTGAGTGCAGTGTCCAGCTCTGGGCCCTTCACTACAAGAAACAGACGGAGCAAGTCCAGAGAAGGGCAAAGGACCTGGCGAAGGGTCTGGAACAGAAGTTGTGTGAGGAGCACCTGAGGGAGTTGCGGGTGTTTAGCTTGGAGGAGACTCAGGGGAGACCTTGTCAGGCATTGCAGCTGCCTGAAAGGAGGGTGGAGCCAGGTGGGGGTCACTCTCTTCTCCCTGACAACCAGTGACAGGACAAAAGAAATGGCTGTGCGAGAGGAGGATTAGGTTGGACATTAGAAAAAGTTTCTTCTCCAGAAGTGTTGTCAAACATTGAAACACAGTGCCCATGGAAGTAATGGAATCACCATCCCAGAAGTGTTAAAAACACATGTAGATGTGGTGTCTGTAGTGGTGTAGTGGTTGAGCGTGGTGGTGCTGGGTTAACAGCATCCAATGATCCTAGTGATCTATTAGCTTTGTCATCGAGTTTTAAAAGACAAACTCCATTACACACACACACACACACACACATATATATATATATATATATATATACATACACACATTGAGAATATTGACACTACCTAACTGTGAGGATTTGTGAATGTAAAGTAGTTAATTTTTTAAAAACATGCGGAGAGAAAACATTACGAAAACAGAAAATGAATACATGTAATTAGTGGGGCAGGGTGGTTTCAAACCATCTTTTTGAGAAGGCTAAGGTGGAACATGTAAGAGTTTGAAAGAAGGTTATTAATGAGACTTTGCCTCTCAGTTTGTTTTAACTTGGTTTGTGCTTTCAGAGTGCACCATTTGAAAAAAAAATTAAATAGGTGTCTAATGGGATGTAGCATCAACTAAATTGATACCTATGATACCTTGAGAAGAATGGACCACACCTGAATGTGTCCCTATAGCATTTTCAGCCAACTATTTACCTATCTCAAAGATGCTCCTCTTTAGGTAAGACATTATTTTTTTAAGCGGTATTACAGTACTTCAGAACTTTAAAGCTTATTGAAGAACATAAGTTCAAGAAAAAAAAATCCATTTCAGGCTAGTTTAAGTTACATGAAAATGTCTTTTATTATGTGCTTACACTTAGGATCTAATCTCTACCATAACCTTTCAGGTGTTCTTTAGTGCAAAGCATTGAAAGAAAAATATATACTTGCAATTTATATAGGCTAAGAGAGAAGCTTTCATGCAGACTGAAATTATTTGACATGCACTTAGACAATCCATATCTGTTGTCACAGAGAACAATGACAAGCTACCTGAAAACACAAGAATACAAAAGAAAAAATATCAAATAGGGAAATCATAGATAGGGACTAAGTGTTACTTATTTTTTTCTGCCTTCAGCTATGGTGAAAGGTCTTTATGGATGCATTACTGCCTTCCTGATTTACCTGGCAGTTACACCTATGTATTAGAGACTGAGACCTTCATGATTTGAGGATAATTATTTTTAAAAGTTGTTTGTCTGCTAGAGATCAAATACAAACTATGGATATTATAGCTGTCTGGGGAATTTTTATATATAATTGCAAAGTTGCTCTCTCTCTAAGCCACCTTATCACTCACGTATGGTGCTTACTTTAGGTCTAAAATGAGCTCACACAATAATTTAAATGTGCAAATACTCTTTGTATTTGCAAACTTGTATTCAGGCTTTTGGTGCAACCCCTCTCAAAACTAAAGAAACTAAAGTTATCTGAGATCCAAAAATGGAGAATCCAACAGCCTGGCTCAGTGGTGCCTTTCCTGAGAAGGTCCTGGCTCCCTGCTTTTCCTGGCCTGCTTCTTGTCGCTTGTAGGCCCTCCACATTCCTAATCACTGCCATACAGCCATCTGGGGGCTTAAGAAATTGTCCTGGTTACAGATCAACCATTTCTTCCAATCTGAGAACCAGATAATTCCAGAAGCAAATCTGCTCTCTCTAACTGCTTCTGTGTTTACACTTCACCCCATCATTGTAGTGTCTGAATGCCATGTCATTTGACAAGCCTTACATAGTTCCATCTTGCCAGAATTAAGGGATGTAACTCACTAACCATTATATCTATCTTAAGGAAATCAAGGGGGGGGGGAATAATTCCCAGTTAATGGATAGTCACACAAGATGGCCCAGTACAATACACGAGGCTCCAGTACAATACAAACAATAAATACGAACCAAAATAACACCAGCTCTTACTCATCTTTCCCACAAGAAAAGAAGTGGATTCAAGTGGCTACCTTGTCTGATTTAAAAAAGCAGCTCTCAGGGTTAGGGTACAGTGCACATGAACTATAATTTTAGCTACTGCTGAAGACAGTGGTTGAATGGTTTTACCCTTGTTGGCTTCCTGAACTGACTCATCTCACCACTTCACTTATGCAGTTTGCTCTAGTTTTTATGCACTGTTTACCCCTCCAAATATGACAGTTGTACCCTATCTCATATATCTGACAGCATCAGCATTAGCCAGAATGTGTTGGTTTACTTTGTTTGAGTTTGCTAGTATTAGATTTGAGGGTAATAAGTTTAAGGGCAGTTATGTGATACTGAGGAAGTGTTTTGTTTAATGACTTGGCACAGAGCTTCTGGGGACAGACAGTATAGAATTCCTGTAAGATGCAGAAATTCAGCAATTTCTACATCAAGTCTGTTGTTGCAGATGCTCAATGCTCCTGTTTGAGCATTTCTGCACTGCTTTTCAACAAACCTCCAGTGCTGAAGATGAAGAATCTCTGGGAAAATATGACTTCCAGGCAATAATTTGCTTTATTTTTAAAAGTTCCTCCATTACTTCAAGCCTGAATTGAACTAGTTTTGACTTTCACACAGCAATTCTTCTTGTACTGTTGGTCCCTTGGCACTGGTGTCTATTCTGTACAACTGTGGAAACAGCACAAGAAAAAGCACTTTTATAATCTCTTATTTCACTATTATCAGTCTTAAACATTGCTGAGAAGATGTACATTCCTATAAATCTTCATAATGTCTTCACCTCTTCCTAAGGTCTCCAGAGAGAGCTGTCAGGGCAGACACCTTAGGTGTACCTATAGAATTTGTTGCTCTGCAAGGTTCATGTAGTCACACCCCCAAAACCTAGAATGATTTTGTTTTTCTGAGAACAACACACTCAGCTTTATGTGTACTATGCGGAGCTGAGAGGGAGCTGTGGGGTGGAGTTTGCCATTATCTGAAGTGCTAGAAGATGGCCACAGCTGGACAAAAAACATCAGGTGATTGCAACCACAGCATAGGAGTGATACCAAGATGTCTGTTCCTGGATGCTCAAATGATCCATCAGCCTCATCAGCAGACATGTAATCTGGGATGATTTTTCTAAGATTTGACTGGTTTCATACTTTTTTTGCAGGTGGAAAGTAATATTCTGTGGGATCATTTGGGTATAAGTTGTCAAAGCAATTTGCTTACAAGGTCAGAGTGGCTTCACTGCATGTTGAGAACACAGGAAAAATGGAGTCCAGGCTTGCAGGACATGGCTTGCACCCATGTAAGCCATCTGGTTGGTAGCAAAGGCTACTCCATTACAATCTCATGTACTGTGAAGGCTAAAGGGCATGCTTATGGACACCTCCAAGCCTATGAGAGAAGCTTTGTCTCAGCATTAAACTTCCATGCTTCCATGCACAAACTCTACCTTTTCAGCCTTAGAATTCCAAAGATATTTGTGACCTTCAGTGAGAGAACCCTGTAAGAAAACCAGAAAGAAATCCTATCAAGTGCATTTGTTTTAGGTTTAGGTATCACCAAAACTTCACTAATTATTTTACCCTAAGTGTAATACATATTAAACAGGAACTGACTTTGCTCAGTGTGACCATACTATCCCAAAACCTCAGGACCTTCACACACAGGACAAGCCCCTACAGGACAGCAACATTACCCTCCTACCACATCTCTGGCTGCATAGTGTATGTGCTGCAACACTCTGCAAATGTACACATAACTAATATTATATCTAACAAAAGTTTATTAAATATATTAATAAAGGAATCATCAATGTCCCCAAAATTTCCTAGAAAGAAAAATCCTGGAATATCTTTCCTGGCTTTCATGTTAGGTATGAGTTAGTGATGAAATAACCTTCACCATCTTTAAATAAAGTTGTGTGCTACAAGGCTTAGTAAGTTTCTAAGATATTCCCATAGTTTAGTCACATGATAATACCAGCTGCCCCATACAGCTGCACGAATGTGTGTTCTCACAGCCAGTCATGATGAGCCTCCTTTTCTGTGTTGCTCACTAGCAGCAGCAGCTGGGATGACAAACCTCACAAGCGTTTAAGACAGTAAGCAAATTTCATGCTCTGAATTTCCCGGTCCATTAACCTCCAGCTGTCTTGGCTCAGTGGGACATTCTACTACCCAAAAACCTCATCACACTCACCAACAGGACAAGCCCTACGACCAGCAGCATTGTCCCGAAGAACTCTGAGGCAATGATAGGCTCCCACAAGACAAATTCCCTTCATAGCCCAGTCTTGGCAGAGGAGCTGAGTCCTGCCCTCTTGCCTTCCAATTCTGCCCTTTTACAACAATGAAGGAAATGATTCAGAGAAGAAGAGGCTAAAGTCAAATCCTGTTATGTGTTTCCCATGGTGACATCTGTAATCCTTCATCTTTATAGGTACTCTTTATAGTCCTTTAGAGAATAGGGACTGGGTAAGCACTCTGCAAGCAAATCATGGCTTTGTAAATATGTACAGTCCATGACAAAAATTAACTGACTACTCCAGGCATGCTGATGGCACACACCAACTGCACAACTGTGAAACACAGTGTGCCAACACTCTCTGTAAACTGCTCTTTGGTCTGCTCTTACATATTGTACTGGAAAGTCTTGCTGTCAACATGAAGTGAAGCCCTTGTGAGTGGAGGTCAAATAACAACATTTTCACATGAAAGAGACCTGGCACAAAGTAAGCTTTATCCTATTGCAACATTCAAGAGCTGTTCAATTGAGGATTACTGCTTGCTACAAATTAAATTCTACTACAGTGTCAGAAAAGGTCCTCTCAGCCTTAGATTCCCTTATTATGATTCCCATTATACACACTGTAGCCTCCTGGCTTTATGGACATTTCTTTTTGGAAACGTGTTTTAAACATGCACCATACACGCTTTAATATTATAGATGGGGATTTCAGATTTACTGATTCCTTTTGTTTCTCTGTTTTGTCTGCCACATTTTCTAAAACTCCCTTCTTTTCCTGATTTAGACAATGTCTCCTCAAAACCAAAACATCTCGTTGCTGGGTACATTTCCAAGATTAGCCAGTCCTGCTAACTCCTGAGCAGTCTCCTGTTGACCTGCACACGGATTGCGACACAATTCAGCATGAATTTGTGAGACACAATGTGTATCTGCAAAAAGTGTTCATTAATGATACCAACAGGCTTAATATATGCGCACTAGTAAGAAAGGTGCCTATTACCTTTCACTTGTAATCATTCCTCCCATTTCCATTTTCTTGTTATCTTTTTCAATCTTATCCAATCTAAACTGCAATCTCTTTGGGATGATTCTTTCATTTATCTATTCACTATGACAATAAAAGAATTACGCAGAACTAGCCACAAAATCAGGGGTGGAGCTTCTTATCACCAAGTTTCACATAGCTAAGTATTGAGCAGGAGGGAGTGGATTTTGGCAGGCTAAGGCAAAAAATAAATGGGCTTATCTTTGTCCTGCACTGTGATAAATCTTCCAGCCATGTAAAAGTGTCATCCAAGACCCAGATCTTCAGGATGTGAAAACTAAATGAAATATGAGTGTAGAGTATGAATCACTGGGAGCTGAGTCATCGACACAAGGAGTTTTGTAATATTAAAATATTTTCTCTCTTCGAAAAAGATCCTACTGAGTAAATACTTCAGTATATAATACTGATCCTGAGTAAATCAAAACCTGATTTGCTTATAAGCACATTTGAAACCAAAGCTCACTCACCCATGAAATCTACATTCCCAGTGCAGCATAATAGGAAATCCACATTCCCAGTGCAGCATAATAGTGCCCTGGTTTACACTGGTATCTTCCAACTACCAGAACAAGTACCAGCCACAGCAAGAATGTTCATGTTAGCAAAAAAAAAAGGGAAATTGCTTGATCAATATAAGACTGCACAAAGCACAATGAAGGATGACATGAAGATCAGGGAATGGAGTAGCTGACTTATTTCGAAGAGTGAATTTTATCTTTGCTTTCTTGTATTTCAGTGTCTGCAGCATCAGCTGCAGGTAGGGACATAGCTACCCTCAGAAAATGACCATCAAAACTGAAGAAAGTCTTTGCTGCTTTGATTTTTTCCCAGCAGAAACAAAGATCTATGTTCCCCTTGTGTTCCTGTGCTCTGTGTAATCTGTGAGCTATGAATTGCTTCTTTGCCTCTGGATGCCTGCCAAAAGAAATTATAAATGGGATTACTTTGTTGCTCAATCTTGCTCTTGTAGCTTTTAGTAAAGTGCTGAACTTCCCAAAAGACATTTTACATTACAGGTGCTTCCTGAGTTTAACAATCCACCACAAAAGAACAGAAGGAACCTTTTAGCTCCCTTCACTACCTGCTATCTTATAGGACAGCTTAAAGAATAAAAAAGATCAAGAAGTTTTCTTTCAGGTAAAAGTTAGATAAATTATTGTTATAGCGAAAATTAAGTTCAAATTTTTAAAAACCCACAAAAATAATAAAAAAAACCAAAACAAAACAAAAAAAAAACCCTAAAAAACCACAAACCAAACCAAAACAAAAAATCCCAAAACCAAACAAAACTGTTTGAAACTGTGGTGTTGCCCATCAATTCCAGTTCACGGCACATACTAACAAGAAAATTTCTTTGGCTGAGTCTGTTGTTAATGAATAATCAAGGTATGTCTCTTTTACAGCTGAGAGTCTCATTCCTGAAAAGAACAACACAGTTTTGGAATAATACATAAAAAACAGGACACAGGCATGGGGCGCAGTTTATTGAAAACAGCCTAAAGCTTTTACATTTTTTCTGTCATTTGAAGTACCAAAGAGTGTTCTTTCTTGTTTACTTCATGTTAGATAAACTCATAAGGGCAATAAACACACCAGAAATATCTCTATATGGACTTTTAGCTTGCTTTTTTCTGTTCAATTTACAAAAATACAAATTAAGCATTGTTAAGTTTGCATCTCTGAACAGAAATTTTAGTTTTATACTTTTGCTGTTCAAGAGTTCTCTCCAATAGTAATTCTTTGCTCTTGTCACCCTGCTCAGGTAGGGAGAGCTGGCGGGACTGAAACTTCAGCTGGACTTCCTCTAAGTACACACAACACACATTATGAAAACATTCCCTAATTTTCCAGTGCCGTGCAAAAGCTATGACCAATGTCATATTAGTTACTAACCAATGTCATATTAGTTGCATGGGAATTCTGACAGTTTTGAAACTTCTGACAGTGAGTGAGGCACCAAAATCATGACATGACATAACAACATTGCAGAAGACAATATGTCAGAGTCTTGTAACTATGCTCCTGTCCTCCCTGCAATACTGATGGAACATGCAATTAGGCTCTGGAAGTGTAACATCACCAGTGTTATGCAAACACTTATTACGTGACTGTATCATTCTTATACCTGTGCATTACAAATCATGCAGTGCAAGAAGCTTTCTCATTCAAATAACTTACTAATTTTATAATTTAACATCACTGTGTGGCATTGCAAGGAAACTATATACATGATGAATGGAATGGATGAGCATGAGAAAGTGGATGTCAGAATGGGATTACATGGCATGCTGTGAGGGTCCAAGTCTTGCTACTTTTCTGATCTTGAGTTTAAGGAAAGGGTGTTTGATTTTTAAGCATCTTCCTTTATGAACTTGTATTGAACTTCCCAAACAAAAAGTGCACAGCAGTGTGAGTTATTGTAGACCAAATAGGCCCAAGATGGGAGTTAGGAGTATTGCAGGAACTGCAGATGAAGCCTACTAACTAAAGTTGCTCTCTCCTGCTGACTTTCTGTCAACACAAAAATGACCCCTCCTCTCAAATAACAGTACAGGTGTCTCCAGTTGAGTAGAAGAAATGGGCTTAGATACTGCTACTGACACAGAACTGAAGGAGGGTAAATAAGAGGACACATGAAGGCACTGAAAACATATCTATGTACAAATTCATCTCAGACTGAGGGCACTCCCAGCACAAAAGTTCAGATGACATACATAACAGGGACACAATACTCTTGTGAAACAGAAGCAAATGATGCTTGTCACTGCTGCTTGTCACTGTAAGCACAGTCCAGTGGTATTAGGGACACATGACAAACTCTTTCAGACAGCTATTGCCATATGTGAACTCTTTGCTACTGTTACAGCTTCCAAAGCTCTTCCCTAAGAACAAGGTAATTATATCCTGTTCTGACAGTTTATGCATATAAGCTGTTCCAGCTACATCAACAACCTAAGAATTTGCACCAGTTATATCTTCCACTTTTCCATGACTCTAGCGGTTAACATTAAATGCAATGTTTCAGCAGGAAACCAGGCAACAGCACTTTGATTAGTTTCTGTGGTATAAAAAAATCTGACCTGCTGTACTGCAGCAAACATAAGAAAGAACTCCAGAACAGAACATTAATTACCCTCTCACTACACCAAATAATTTGTTCAATTACATTCATAAGCTGAAACTTGACTTTAAAACATTTTGCAATA